GGTGATCCATTAACGGTATCGAGCGGCTGTATATAGGAAACTAGATGTGCTACGATTATAGGGTAAAAAATCTATTAACAAATACGACCAAAAGAAATTGATTTAAAATATTTTCAAGTTTGTAACTTCACCGCTAGGGGGCGCAACTGCTATAGTGTTACAGAAAATTGTCGGTTTTTCGAAATTTCGCTTATATAACCTAAGTTGAAAATACATTTTTTAGATACACTGTTAAACCCTTCACAAGTTTTGTTTGAACTTTTTTTTTGTTATTACCATAGCAACGTCAGTATGAAGGACGCTATCTTGAAATTTTTAAATTGTCATAACTTCTAAATGCCTTAATCGATTTCAATAAACGATGGCTCATTTTAAAGAACTATTAATAAAATTTATTTTTATGATATAGGAATAAAAATATTATTTTCCTGCGCAACGGTAGACGACGCTAATGAGAAAAGTTTTGTAATTGTCTCCGTTTACTAAAAAAATTAAATGCAACGATATAGGTTTTTTTTCATGGCTTGATAGACCATTCATTATGGAAAACAAATACACAAACCGGAGGTCGATATCTTTTTTCGTTTTCAAGTTATTGCTAAAATAGTGAGGTTGTGCTAGAACATCCTCCTTTATTTAGTTCTCTAAATAACATTGACATAATCCAAGCCAAAATTAAATTGTAAAACTATACCAATCTTGTCCTTAAAAAGAATTATTGCTTTATTTTGAAATTTTTTTGATAACTGCAATATTTAATTTTTTTATTAATTCCAAATATCTGAGTAGTTATAAAGATTATTGTTTCCATAACGAGGCAGGCTATGCCCTATGAAAATAGACAACTGAAAAATTATGCCAAACGAAATGTGACAGCTCTCACTACGTGCAAAATTAGTGTTATTTGTGTTGGAAAAGTACTTGTGAACAAGGAAAATGCCTTGTACGAATGTGGAAGCGTATGATATGTTGGCAGTTTATTTTCAATGTTTGAAAAATGCCATTATAGCTTCAAGAGAATATGCTTTGCGATACCCTCGTAGAATACGCTACTCCAGAAAAGAATTTCAGCGTTTATCCAGATGCCACTACATTATGTAAGAACTCATCGCCGTGCAAGAATGGAAGATAATATTATTAATATATTGGTTTGTGTCCATGTAAATCGCCAAATAAGTCTAAGAGAATTTGTTAAAGACCTGGGAATTTCATATGGAACCTAAGTACTTTTCTCACACGAATGACGCTAATTTTGCTCGTAGCAAGAGCTGTCACATATCGTTTGACATAATTTTCATACGGCAAAGCCTCCTTTGTTATGGAAACAATAATTATAACTACTAGATATTTGGAATTAATAAAAATATGAAATATTGCAGTTATCAAAAAAATTTCAAAATAAAGCAATAATTCTTTTTAAGAACAAGATTGGTATAGTTTTACAATTTAATTTTGGCTTGGATTATATCAATGTTATTTAGAGAACTAAATAAAGGAGGATGTTCTAGCACAACTTCACTATTTTAGCGAATAACGAAAAAATATATCGACCGCCGGTTTCTGTATTTGTTTTCCATAATAAATGGTCTATTAAGCCAGCAAAAAAACCTATATCGTTGCATTTAATTTTTTTAGTAAACGGAGACAATTACAAAACTTTTCTCATTAGCGTCGTCTACCGTTGCGCAGGAAAATAATATTTTTATTCCTATATCACAAAAATAAATTTTATTAATAGTTCTTTAAAATGAGCTATCGTTTATTGAAATCGATTAAGGCATTTAGAAGTTATGACAATTTAAAAATTTCAAGATAGCGTCCTTCATACTGACGTCGCTATGGTAATAACAAAAAAAAAAGTTCAAACAAAATTTGTGAAAGGTTTAACCATAAAAGTAACTAAATAAGAGGGTTTTATTGGATAGGGCGGACCGAACATGCATTCACTGAGGCCATCTCACGTTGTTTCAGCAAAACATTGTCCTTTACGAAAATTGTTAAATAAAAATCTGCAACTACAAATCGAATCTGTATTTCCAAGCTTTCAATCAACAGAAATAGAATGCGTCGACTGAAATATTTCAATTAACGTAGAATGTTGGAGGTAGGAGGTTTGAGGTTATAATTTATCTTCAGTTCAGGTAGGTTGCTGCGTTTTGTGCATTAATAAATTTGTTTTGTTTTTAGATTAATGTAATAAGGGATTTATTGAATAAGTCATCTGAACTGCCTTACTGTATTTTTATTCTTTTTTTTATGTAAAATTAGTTTACCTGGTAGAACTACACGTAAATGTTGTGCTCCAAATTGCAAAAGCACTTACTATATGAATGTCTATAATGCGTCCTATAAAAATAAGTTTTTTCAAAATTACAAAAGACAGACAATTACTGTGGATAGAATCAGTTCGAAAATTATGTAAATCAGACTTTGCTCCGACAAACACAGTCATTATTTTTGTGAAGACCATTTTGAGTTAAAATGTTTTAGAAGCAGTGATAGGAATAGTCTCAACAGAAATACTGTGCCAACGTTATTTTTAAGATCAACTACAAGTTCACATATTAATTGTAATAATATCACCTTGGAATACTCGGATAGTATCCAATATTCAACAAAACAATTTGTTACCTAACGTAACATTACAGAATTTTCATAGTACGAGTTGCCAAACTTCAATTTCGGATGATTTTTCACCCCACCTTTTAAAAAACTGAAATACATGTATTAAAAATTGTTATTTCCTACAAGCGCTACTGCGAGCACCAAGATCATTCCTGAGATTACTGATAGCAAGTTGAATGAAGCGGAATCAAATACAAGTCATGCAAGTACCTCACTTGATACCTCATTTTGTCAAAGCCGCACATCTTTTCAGCCAAATAATAAACAAAGAACATTTTTAAAAACTTTGAATGTTAAGAGAATATCTCAACTTTCAGATAAACATTAAAACATTTTTTATCTAGATCGTCAACAGAAAATTCAGATTTTGAAATTAAAAAAGAAACTATTAAAATGTAAAAGTATCACCTATTATAATTTATTTGCAAAATTAAGTCGTCACCTTGATTCAGTAGGTGTAAAATTTATTGAGTCACAAATTAAAAATTGCGAAAAAACGACCTATCTATAATTCAGAAAATAAAGCACTTGCTTTAGCAATTTACAAACTTGGGCCTAATACCTTTAAATGTTGGGAGAAATGAAAAGTTGTTAGGTGAATTATCAGAACGTGTTAGTAAAATTACTTATTACAAGAGATAAAGTTTGTTGTTTAGTATTTGATGAAATAGCTCTGTCTGTTGGTCTAAATTATGACACTTGTAACGATCAAGTAACGGGATATGTTGATCTTGGGTCCCTGGGTAGACAAAATGAGGTAGCAAATCATGCTGTAGTGTTTTTGGTCGTAGTAGTAGTATTATTTCACAAAAGACGTTATAAAAACAAAGGACCAAAAAATTTTGTTAATTGAAGTAATTTCAGCATTGCAGTCTTGTGGATTAAAAATAATTTGTACAGATTGTGATGAAGGTTCCACTAACAGATCAGCTATCAGATAGTTAGTTTCTGAGTAATCAAATAAATCCACTTTTAATGTTAATGGCGAGGAAATTATTCCCATTTTTGACGTTCCTCATTTGCTTAAATACCAGAAATGCTTCATATAACAATAATATTAAATTTTCGCATAATAAAACAGCAAAATTCAGCAACATAGTAAAATGTTATCAAATTGATAAATCTAGGCCCTTCCAAGGTTTACGAAAGATACATGACCATTATTTCGAATTAAATCGTAGTAATGTTAAGATTAAAGTAAAAATTGCAGCACAAACATTAAGTGCATCTGTAGCTCATGAAGGCTATTCGTACAGCAGAGTTTGCGAATGATATTAATGATACTTTTGATAGTTTAAATTCTCGTATCATACAGCTAAATAATTGCAGTTTTTTAAAGTCATCTATTACTAAGAAATCAGCACATATTACATTTTGGAATGATATGTTGGAAGAAATTCAGTCTTGGCAATTTCAGTCTCATAAAGACAACAAAGTAAAGAATGTACATGTAAAGTGTTAAAACATAATTAAAGTGTTTCAGAAGTAATGGGTCATGGAAAAGCTGTTAATGGTTCACGTTAATTTTAATTGTTAACTTCAACTATTAGTAGCTGTTTTGTGATCTATTACTTATGAAATACTTTTTATTCCGTGTACTTTATTACATTTAAATTTACCGCCATTATGATGCAGCGACATCTATTAGATAGTAGAATTAGAGGTTACTCTAATTGTGTTATCCCATACAGTTCCTTAATTATTTTATGGTCTGTGTGTGCCGTTTGGTGCATCAGCTACAAATGGCGTACTCTGCCGCTGCTGCCGGCAGAAGACACAGAGAAAAACCCTCTTATTTAGTTACTCTTATGGGTTTAACAGTGTATCTAAAAAATTTATTCACAACTTAGGTTATATAAGCGAAATTTCGAAAAACCGACAATTTTGTGTAACACTATAGCAGTTGCGCCCCCTAGCTGTGAAGTTACAAACTTGAAAATATTTTAAATCAATTTCTTTTGCTCGTATTTGTTAATAGATTTTTTACCCCCATAATCGTAGCGCGACTAGTTTCCTATATACAGCCGCTCGATACCGTTAATGGATCACCCTGTATAACCACCAAGATAACCACTAACTGTTTTGTAACTCAGTGAAAGATCAATCCTTTTCGTTCAAGAAAATTTAAATTTCTGCCCAAAGTTAAAAAAATTGAGTGAATTAATGAAATCTAGTACTTTGTACCTATATCTGAATTAAAGCCATACCGATTGTTTTATAATAATCTTACAAATTTTTCCTATTACTTCTTAACCTAACAATTGTTTAAAAATTCGTTTATCATCAGATGGTACATATTTAATCATATAAATCACGAAGTGCCCGAACCGCATGCTACCATTTTTTAAATTAATGTTGAAATAGTGTTCTCTTACCTGCCTTCCTCATCTTCCGACTTTATGTCAACACATTCAGCTTTGATCGACATTCCCATTTCATTAATATCGAATTCTTTGTCCAAGTCTTCAGTCTTTATGAATAAATCAAGTGGAGACTTATCTATTTGGGTTTCTGTGGCTGAACTGTCAAAAATACTATTAATTTTTTCTTCTACCTCTAAGCAATCTTTTAGGAAACTGTTGTGGGTGCACAGAGTGTCGAAGCATGGATTACACACAACGGGATCTTTGATGATATTTACATTCTACAAAATGGTTTTGTTAAATTACAAAATATGCAATTATTTAATATTGTTTATACCATTTCAGGAGTCAATTTCTGAATAGTTTCAAGTTCCTCTTCACGTATGCATCTAAATTCACTTTTTATTGGATGCATACACAACCGACATATTTTCTGACTGCAAACTAATTCACTTTTCTTTTCCTGCATGTACACTTCCCTTAAGTCAAGCCGTAACATTTTTTCGTTATCCACATAAGGAATAATTGTGTTATTGGTGTTCAGACACGTTGACTTAAATTCTAATGCCGTGTTTAACTTTCTTCTGCAAGCACTACATATAACCTCTTTGCTTCCGCTATCAAGTTTCTGAAATATACACAACTTTAACCAAACAGAAAGAAAATAGCTATGGCAAAAAATAAAAAATATTGTTAAGCCGCTACACACGTATTGGGATTATTGAGAGGTGTGCGAATTATGTTACATATAATCTTTGCCCTCGTTATCAAATTTCAGAAAAATATGCAACTTTGAACAGAAAAAAATAACTATGAGGGAAAATAACAATTAAATACTAAATGTTAATTTACATTAGAGATTGTTAAGATCTAATCTATTTATACTTCACAGACTTACCAATTTCAGTAAAAGGCCATCAAGAATGTCTCTGATAATGTTGTTTATCACTTCAAAACTTTTATTGGTTATATTTTTAAGACAAAGCCTACACGAAGTCTCCTTTACATTAGTCATTGTTTTAAACTCTAGAATAATATTATTTTAAATATAAACAGATCACAGAGACAAAAATACAAAATCGTCACTTCCCAACCTCCTCGCTTCTTGGCAGCATACGTCAGGGGCCGAGAACTTATACTTGAAAAAATGGGGAAACTCTGGGAACCACGTGACTTGAGATGGAAATACAAGTTGGGGAAAGAGTCTATAGATGTCGCCACAAAGATTTTGTAGAATAAATTTTGACAATTGCAATTATGAATCATTTCATGTCATTCTTGTTCATGTTTATTGTTTATTGTTGGTTAGGTTTGGCGAGTGTTGGTGTGTGTTTTATATGTGTTTTTAGTGTGTTTTATTAGATATTTCATTCACATTTATTTATATAACATAATAATGTCTGATCATCATATAATCACATTTTTTTATTAATAATAAAATGTTTTTTTGTTTTTTTTTTAATAAAAAATGTGATCAGAGGTAGGTAGTTTTTTTTATGGATATCAACACAACGAAAAATTTAAAGTTGCATAATAAATCTCTATTACAAGAATTAATCAAAGATTGGTTTAGTAAAATTATTTACTTGTAATATTTTTTTATTCACCGTGAAAGCTAATACAATATAGAAAGCACTGAAACTCTATAATCATTTTCACTCTTTTTTTTCAAAATATGTACTGAAATTTGAAATTTTTTCAACAAACATTTTAAAAAGTTACAGTATCAAAATTATTTCTTATTTTAAGTAGGAAGACTATTAGAGCATTTAAAAGTGTCTTTAATGCTTGAGTGATTTTAATGCTTTTTATCAAATGTACTTATTTTCTCATGGTGACAAAAAAA